AGTTCGGGGCCAGTCTCAGCAACTTAGAGACCCTTCCTCAAAATAACAATAACAAAAAAAAAAAACAAAACAAAAAAAAAACATAAAAAGGACTGGGGATGTAGCTTAGTGGTAAAGTGCCCCTGGTTTCAAGCCCCAGTACCAAAACAAAAACAAACAAAACCAAAAAAACAGGACCCAGGACTATCTATCTGGCTTATTCCTTAAAACCTCTCCGACCATGGGACACCCAACAATTTACAGACTATAGCTGTATAGTCAAATAGCAGCATGGGTATTACCAAGAAGGTATATTTTAGATGTGATTGACATTTCGATCAGTAGACTTAAAGAAGAATATCCTGTGTTAGTCAGTCTTCCATTACTACAACGAAAGCCTGAGATAATTATAAAGAGAAAAGTTTTGTTTTGATGTTCGGTTTTGGGGGTTTCAGTCCATGATCAATTGGTGTAGTTGCTCTGGGCCTGTGGTGAGGCAGCACATCATGGTGGCAGAGCACAACAGAGCAAAAGCACTCATCTCACAGCCCGAAAGCAAAAGAGAGGAAGGGACCAAGCTTGGCAGTACACCCTGCGTTGACTTAAAGACCTCCCATTAGGCCCCTACCTCTTAAGAGATCCCCAGCAGTTCCATGTCTAGGGACCAAGTCTTTAACCCATGAGGCTTTGGGGGATATTTATTCAAACATAACCCCTCTATAATGTGGGTGGGTTCCATCCAATCAGTTGAAGGACTTGAAAGACTGAGGTGCTTTGAGGAAGGATTCTGCCTTCAGACAAGAATGCAACATTAATTCTCTATTATCTACCTATCTATCTATGTGTATCAATACACATCCTATTGGTTCTATTGCTCTGGAGAACCCTGATTAATAACACCATTTCTGGCCTGATCCAACACGTTCTTCCTGTCCCCCCACCTTTATTATGCATCCCTTTCATGTTCCCTGGTCAATGGCTTGAACTCTACTTATTTTATTTTGGTTGTGTTTAACAAACACATTTGTGGGACTGTTAGGATCATAACACACATGGCTTGGGGATCAGAGACTTAAAATGTGTGAAACAAAAACCAAATAAATTCAGATTTCCTATTACACACCTTACAAAGATGAGACAAAGTAACTTTCAAGGGCACAGAAAGAGATGCCAGAAAGGGCGTCATCCTGATTTTTGAAATGGTAAAGGTGAAGGTCTAACCCATCTCTATTGTGCTTCATGTCTATGCCTGGCAAGGTGACCAATTATTCAAAGGATGGCCCATAAGGGGCCTTCATTTGAATTGTGTTGAGATTAACTACAAAAGCACTTTGCCTTTCCTTTCAAAGAACAGGTAAATAGATCAAAGAAATGCAGCAGATACAATTATACCTCACCAAGGGCCTTGGGCTTCTGCTGTTATCTTTGTCAAGAGAAGAATTATGGCCGGGACACAAGGACAATTTAATTAGTAACTGTCTGGGTTACTGGAATATGTGGCAAAATTGAAGCAAACTTACAGAGGTAAGTTACTTTTCTCCAATCTGACCGCTTGAGATGGAAGAACAATGGAAAAATCTGGGTAATAACCAGGATTTAAAATCAGTGATAGGCTGTAGCAATGGACAGGTTCAACCGTGAAATGAACTCAATTTGAGTTCAAAATACTGTCTGCATGCCAGATGGAGGGAGAAGGTGGCTGACTTTTACTCAGCCCAAGAGGTGGGACTCGTCCTGGGATGACCTTCAGGTAGGTATCAAGCATCCTGTAGATTCTTGTTCTATCTGTGTTGTCAGTTAGTGCTATGCTCCCTTCCTGGCCTGAGGCTTTAACCAGGTTCAGGAGAAAGCAACTGGCCTTGGTGAAGACCACAGAACCACAGAGCAGGATAGTGCATTGGCTAAGGGGCTGCAGCTTGTGGATCCAAGGTCTTTTCCACCCCTAAACTTTGTAATCTTGGGCAATTTACTTGACTCCTTTAATCTCCCCATTTCCTAATCCATAATGAGAATAATGCCAACCTCATATGGGTGTTCTTTAGATTAAAGCAGTTAAAATACATAAAGCAAATTTTGGCACATTGCTTAGCATGCATTTTCAATAAGTATTTGTTAATATTAACTGAATGACAGCTGCCTTCAAATTTTAAAGGACCTTACATAGAATAACTGCTTTGAGAAACGGTTCGATCCTCAGCACCACATACAAAGATGTTGTGTCTGCCGAAAACTAAAAAATAAATATTAAAAAGTTCTCTCTTAAAAAGAGAGAGAGAGAGAGAGAGAGAGAGAGAGAGAGAGAGAGAGAGAGAGAGAGAGAGAGAGAAACCTGTAGAAGGCACGTGGAGGTTTCCCAGTCCTTTCTTACCGAGCAGCAGTCTGCAGATGGAAGTCACGGCCCAGAGTGTTAAGAGTGAGGCGTGTCACCTGGCAGGATACTACACGGGAGTGGGTGAGATAACCTTTAGGGTACCATCTAAATTTGAAACTTTATGCTTCTAGCACTTGCTATTTTGGATCCTCTCAGCCTAGAGGTATAGGATTCACAATCTCCCAAACTCTTGAAAATACCAGCAGAACTATTGAAGATTCTCATATCAGTCATGCAATCACCGCAGAGTTCACAATTTCAATTTAGGAGAAGGGAAGAAAAACTGGATGGCTCTAGGTTGCCTTTAAGACTTAGTGGTTGGGGCTGGGGATGTGGCTCAAGTGGTAGCACGCTCGTCTGGCATGCGTGCGGCCTGGGTTCGATCCTCAGCACCACATACCAACAAAGATGTTGTGTCTGCCAATAACTAAAAAAATAAATAAATAAATAAATATGTTTAAAAAAAAAAAAAAAAAAAAAGACTTAGTGGTATGTGAAAACCAGGATTGAGACCCTCTTATAAAAAACAGAGAAAAATGCTAAAAGATAAAGTCAAATACAAAGCCTCCAACAAGGATGCTCAGTGTCTCCTGCTGCCTTATATGCCAGGCCCACCCTCTATGAAACAAAGCAAGTTTCAGGAAGACCTAGTATGTCCAGATGTGCACTTCTTCTGAACATGATCTACTGCACATGGTGTGCACATCAGACCTGGACAGCAAGGATGGAAATAATTCGGAGTCCCAACTCCCTAGCAAACACTGGGTGGTCATTCTCCATATGGAAGACACATGGCACCACAAAAGCTCTGTGAATAAAACTTTTAATAATGTACAGCAGAAATTGGACAGGCTCATTCTTATATTAAAACAAAAGATTTCCTATATTACAATTTATTTACATTTGCATACTGAAGAGGTAAAGTGTCTAAGTGGCTATTTTACAGTCCTTTCTAATAAAATATACAAAACAAACAGAAGTACCGAGAATGCCGTTCGGGAGCCTTGATGGCGACATAAGAACGGGCTTGGACTTGGTCTGTGAATCTAGAATCCAGAGGTGCAGGTAGCCCTATGGATCAGGGTTAGCCTCAGGGAGCCAAAAACCCAGCTTCAGTTTCTCCCCAACTTTCGCTTGGTGTTAGCAGTGGTGGGTGTGGGAATTTCCCCCAAAACTGCTGTCTTCCCCAGAGGTGGCGGAGCTCAACTGCATGGATGGTGAGGGTAGAAAGGCCCCCTGGGGAGTGGGCTAGTGGTTTGGGAGTCACTGGATGGACATGTGTTGGCAGATCCCAGAGGCTAGTTGTGACTTGGGGCACAGGAGCCTAAGTTCCATCATCACCTGTAACCGCCACAGTTCTGCTGCAGGGCGGGTAAGTGGGAGGTCAGCAGGGGTGGGGAAATAAGGTCCCCTTAGTGACACAACTGGTATTTTAAGGGATATTAATTAGTGGCCAGTAAATTGGCCCAAGGGTTAGAGGAAGATCTCCTTTAATGCAAGGAAAGAAGCAATACATCAGGAAAATAAATAGAAAAAGCAGGAACATGGGGAGACCAAGGAGGCAGGGGGAGGGCTTTTCCTCCTCCCCAGGCTTTGGCAGGATTGCTGGGTTGGAGGCAGGCATGCTCAACACCTACATACATTATGTGCCTCCCTGGGGGCAGGAAGGGGGCTCAGAATGAATGCAGTGCTTTGGGGTCTCACCTGTGGTTCTAAACCCCAGGCCTCACTACCCACCAGTAGTCTCTTTGCAAGAAGGACATGTTGCGGGAGGGGGGGGGGCAGGGTCGGTCCTCTTTCCTCAGTGGTCTTATTTAAAAACAGTTAATTCCAGGCTCAAAAGGCTCTCAGAACCAATCATAAAAAGTCAAAGCAGGTGTGCAGGGGTCTCACAGCAGGCACCCACTTACTGGATTTAGCTCCTTCTCCAGTGCTCCAAGAGCAGCACCCAAGCCTGTCAAGTTCACAGTGGTCTTCCCAGGCCCGGCTTGGCGCTGGGCACCCAGTGGGCACTCACACACATCTGCTGAGTAAACGCCTGGGGAAGGTGCAGCCAACCAGACAATGCACAAGGCGGGGGTGCTCACAGATGGGGGCAGAATGCCAGAAAGACCGAGCCCCAGGGTAGAGAGGAAGTATCACTGCTGAGTGGGAACAGGCTCAGGTACAAGGACAAACACTTCCAGTGTGATTGAGCTATGTGCGCTTGAGTTTTTTTTTTTTTTTTTTAGGGATTTCTTTAAAAACAAATAGGTTGAGAGGTAATTATCACATAGAGATGGTTTTCCTTTTACAAAAACTTAATATTATTAAAAAAAGTTAAAATCCAGACCCTCCCAATAAAATAAAATAAAATAAAAATAAAACCACTCCAGTTAAAAGTTATGGCTTCAAAGTTATTATAGACCTAAGATATGCTGACCAAATCACCACCCAAAACCGTGCTTCTAGACTTCATTAAATACTATACTTAGGTTAAATAACATGTTCAGCTCAGGCTATTCCCTTTAGTAGGGCCCCTGAAGTGGATGCAAATCTCTCATCTTCCCTCCACTCTGATCAGATAATCCAGTAAAAGGCGGCCCATGCAGATGCCTCCCTCCCACCCAGACTCCCCCCCAAATCAGCCCCCCCCCTTCCCCACCCCAAACCCACCACCACCAAAAATATACACTGCTGTTCGTAGAATCTGGGATGGGATAGACAGATGTGACATTCCAATTTGAATCCCAAGATCTAGCTTTGGATTCCTTGGCCCTTCCTTGATGCTGCTGAGGACGATGTGCTGGGCCAGCTCATTTCCCACGGTTGAGGCTGACCACAACACCTAAGACTTCCACCGAAATTCTTTCCCTGCCCTCCCTGGGTCCCCCACCCCCAGCATCACATTTTGACCCAAAACCCTCTCTTGCAATGGACAACTGGGCCAGCTTCGGTTCCTCAGCCTGAAATAGAAAACTGTGCTGACACAGGGCAGGCAGAGCAGCCAGCTGGGAAGAGAGTGCCACTGGGCAGGGTCTGGGGGAAGGGAAGGAGAGACCTTCAGGGAAGGGCACCAGGGAAACTAGATGCTGCTCACTATGAACAGAGGCACCAGCACGCAGAGACAGCATGACACCACACCCCTGGCCTGCACATGCACAGAAAGCTCAAGCAAGTGCATACCTAAACACACACACATACACACACGTGTAAGGGCGTGGCACAGACCAGGCACAACAGGGGACGCACCTCAGCACATGCACACACGGCTGGACAGACAGGCAGCAGGTTCCGTCTCCACTGGCAGTCCTCAAGATGTCTGTGTAAGGAGGAAGGGAGCACGTGGCTCAGAGCCGCCTGGAGAGGGGCTACACTTCTGGACCACTTTGGTGTGCCACGGGCTGGTCCCTGGAGGGCAACAACTTGGCTCCTCCTAGCCCCTCCCCGGCCACCCTTTCACCATTCCTGGCTAAGTGCCAGATGCACCGGGTTTTGTGGACTTCCCACTGCAACCAGTTTGAGTTGTGGCATTGAGTTCTCCACACGATTTGCTCTCAGAGTCTCCATGCCATCAGGAGGTAAATATAAAAGGTGTCTGTCTCAAACCCAACATGGGAGTGAGCGTGTCTCCCGGGCTCTGTCCCTCTGGTGGGGCCAGGGCTCTGGCCACAGAGGGCTGGGCAGAAACGAGAGGTAGGCCTCCACTGTACGCTCAACATGGCAGCTGCACATAGTTCTCGCTGCCCAGGGTTGTGTGCAGGGGAGAGAACAGGCTAGATCTTCACATCTTCCTGCACGCTGAGTTGTGACAGGGTCTTCTTTATGCGCAGCGCAGTCAGACGGGCTGCGCCGTTGGCGTACCAGCACTCCCGCATCATCTTCCCCATCACCCGTAATGCCTGCAGAGACAAAGGGCTGTCAACTTGACTGCAACCAGAGAAGTCTTTCTGGTCCTTAGTTAAGCACTGGCTAGTTTCTCTGATGCTTTCCCCACAAGGCTGAGTCTGTTATAATCTGCCAGCCTCCAGCCCCTTCAGCAGGGAAATGATTCTCAAACTTATCCTTCCTTGAGGGATAGGCTGTGTAGTGGAAGGGAAAAGCTCCAGCTAAGGCTGGCTCTTTTATTCTCAGCCTTACTCTCAAGTAAACCTAACCTGAGGCACTTGAAGAATATTTTGGAAAATGCTGTTCTATTGTGTAATGAGAAGGCATCCACTCAAATGTGAGCTGAGTAATTTGGTTCTTAAAGGCAGAAATGCCCTCTAGTGGTTACACTCATAAAAGGCTGAAATGACCTCTACTGTTCTACTGGAAGATTAGCACTTTGGGAGGAGCCCAGTGCACTGCACAGCAATCTGAGTTAACAATACTGATCTTAACTAAACTGACAGATGTTAACTAAACTGTGGTAATCCTTTCATAATATACACAGATTAAAATTAGCACATGTCAACTATTTCTCAAATAAAGTTGGAGAAATACATAAATAAGTAGAAAGAACAGCAGGGTTACAAAGTGAAAAGGCAGCCCATGTGCATTCAGCTGGGCCAATCTTGCTCCCCTGAAGACTCTAAGACCTCAGAACCCCATGCTAGTTAGAAAGAGATGTAACAGATTTGTCCCCATTTCAACTATTCCCACCAAATGTTGTCCCTCTCCATTTCATTACCATTGGTACCAAATTGTAATTCTCTTTCCTTACCCCAACTCCTTCACACTTGTCACTTTCTCTTCTGAGTTTTTAGAAAGACCACTTCCTCAGACATGGTCGTTCCCTTCTGCTACAGTCTCCAGCCTTCTCATATAGATGCCTCTCCCTAACTCTTTTCTATAGGTGGCCATGCCTGTGGTTCTATAGCTGTTTTTCTAGTACAACAGGTCTAACACCTCCCAAACACCTTTTGTTTCTGTCTCTTGTTGACCACCTACCTCCCTTATCTGTGATCAGAAGGAACCTTTTTCTTCTATACTAGGATGGTGCCTCTAAAGGGCACCCTACAGCTAACCAGAACAAATGACTACAGCCTCAGAGGGCTCAGTGAATAATACCATAGAAAAGTAAAGGTTGAGTATCCCTTATCTGAAATGCTTGGGACCAGAAGTGTTATGGATTTGGATTCTTTCAGATTTTGAAATATTTGCATATACATAATGAGGTATCTCAGGAATGGAACCCAAGTATGAACACAAAATTTATTTATCTTTTACATGTATCTTATTATACACAGAGCTTGAATATAATTTTATACAATATGTTTAGTGTACCTCATGTGTATGTTGTTTTGTTTTTATTTTTGGCACAGGGATTTTTTTTTTTTCCTGTACCAGGGATTGAACTCAGGTGTGTTTAACCACAAGTCACATCCTCAGCCATTTTTGTTTTCTTTTTCTTTTTTGTGGGGGAGGGGAGAGTATCAGGGATTGAATTCGGGGGCACTCGACCACTATCCCCAGGTCTATTTTGTATTTTATTTAGAGACAGGGTCTCACTGAGTTGCTTAGCACCTTCCTGCCTCAGCCTCCTAAGCTGCTGGAATTACAGGAGTGCGCCACTGCACCTGGCTCCAACTGTTTTTTAATATTTTATTTAGAGACAGGGTCTCACGGAGTTGTTAAGTGCCTTGCTGAGTTACTGATGCTGACTTTGACTCCTCCTGCTTTAGCCTCCCAAGCTGCTGGGACAACAGGTGTGCATGGCGGTACTGGGGATTTAACGGAGGGGGCACTTGACTACTGAGGCACATCCCCATCTTTTTTACTTTTTGAGACTGGGTCTCATTAAGTTACTTAAGTCCTAAGTTGCTGAGGCTGGCTTTGAACTTGTGGATCCTTCTGCCTCAGCCTCCCGAGTAGCTAGAATTACAGGCGTGCACCACCACACCCAAAAGCACATGCATTTTGACTGCAACCTATCACATGAGGTCAGGTTGACCTGTCAATGGAGATTAGGTGTGGAATTTTCATTTGTGGCATCATGATGGTGATCAACAAGTTTTATTTTAGACTCAAGGAGTACCTGGGAGTGGTATATTCTTATTTTATGGGCTGAAGATTGAACCCAGGGTCTTGCACATGCTAGAAAAGTGCTCTATCATGGAGCTCCAACCCGAGCCCTTTTTGAGACAGGATCCCATAAAGTTGCCGAAGCTGGCTTAGAACTTACTCCCCTGCTGCCTCAGTCTCTTATCTCAGGTAACTGAGATAATAGGTGTCACCATGCTCAGCTTGAAAAACTCTTTTCTGAGGTATAGAAGTCAGGTAGATAGGAAAAATCACAGGAAGCAAGGAAGTTTCCTACCTCGTAACTCTGCCACCAGTTGGGGATATTGGGACGTAGCTTCTGGTCACAGACAACCTTTCGCATTTCCTCAATGGAAGGGTCGGAGGGCACTAAGTCGTAATATGGCAGCTGATATTCTTCATGGACTCCTGGGAGAAACGAAAATGTCTACCTGAGTTATCAACGAAAGAAGGAGAGATTATTCCAAAACCAGTGACAATATTGTGATTTGTAAATGTCATCTCCCACTAAGATGAAGGAAGTCTCCTTGGAGGAGGTGGTGGATTCCAGGCATGGGACAAGTCATACACAAGAGTAGAGCTGGGTGCCATGGTACTGACCTGTAGTCTTAACACTTGAAGGCTAAGACAAGAGGATAGCTAGAGCCTAGGAGTTTGAGGCCAGTTTAGGCAATGTCTCAAAAATAAACAACAAAAACAGAAAAACTCCAAAACCACCCCCCAACAAACACATGAGAAACCTGCAACATTAAGCCACGAAGCACAGAAACTATCAAGAATAAAAAGATTAAAACTACTACCCTGTTGCCTCAGTCTCTCATCTCAGGTAACTGAGATTACATCCACCATGCTCAGCTTGAAAAACTCTTTTCTGAGGTGCAAAAGTCAGGTAAATGGGAAAAGTCACAGGAAACAAAGAAGTCTCCTACCTTATAGCTCTGCCACCAGATAGGGAAAGGGGCTACACTTCTGGTTCCTCTGGACAATTCTGGTGTGCCAAGGGCTGGTTTCCTACCTCACAACTCTGCCACTAGTTGGCCAAAGATTAAAACATTTAATAATAACACTAATAGATTTGATGGAGGGCTGGTTGTGGCTTAGTGGTAGCAGTTGCCTAGCACATGAGAGGGACTGAGTTCGATCCTCAGCACCACATACAATAAACAAATAAATAAAGTTATTATTAAAAAAATTTGATGGAAATAAGTATTTTTAAATCCTCTAGTTCATAACAATTCTGACAAAAGAAACCTCAGTCACCTTTGTAGGATGCTATTGTTTTGAAAAATGTAAATGAATGGAAAGAGTCAAGTATTTTTCCTGCTTTTTCTAATCTAAACTAACACATCTTGCAGGGTGCAGTGGTGCACACCTTTAATTCTAGCAACTTGGGAGGCTGAGGCAGGAGGATCAAAGTTCAAAATCAGCCTCAGCAACTTAGCAAGGGCCTAAGCAACTTAGCAAAACCCTGTCTCTAAATAAAAAAAAATAAAAGAGGGCTGGGATTGTGGCTCAGCGGTAGAGACTCACCTAGCACATGCGGGACCCAAGTTCGATTCTTAGCACCACATAAAATAAATAAATAAATAAAAGGGCTGGGGATGTGGCTCAGTGGTTAAGCACCCCTGGGATCAATCCCCAGTGCCAATAAAACAAAACAAAACAAATTATACATCTTGATAACCAAATAGATAACTGGGTAAATTTCACTTTCAAGGGCTGGGGACGTAGCTCACTGGTAGGACACTTGCCTAGCATGTTAAGGACCTGGGTCTGATGGCTACACAGCAAAAAAAAAAAAAAAAAAAAAAAAAAAAAAAAATCCAGGTAATTCACAGAATATTAATGAAATCAGACTTTTAAACCTTTAATGAATTTGGATCTGGACAATGATCATCCTTGGTTGCTAAATTCACAAAATGAGAAATAACTGCTATTATGTGCCTTGTAACAGAAGTTCAGAGTAACATCTATGAAGGATGTTAAAGAAAATGAAAAGAAAACAAAAACCCAGGTACAATTCCAGCTGCTAGATTTAAACTACTAATTCATTGAAAACACAAGAAAGAATGTGTGAAATCCATGGGTGGCAATAGGCAAAATCTAAGCTGGGAAACTTCACTAGACAAATTATGTGGATTCTAAAATAAAATAAAGTGAAGAATAAAACAATTGGAGCTGGGAATTAGAGACTAGAATAGACTTAACAAGTCCCTCAATGGACTGCAATGGTGGAATGTATCTGGATCCTGATCTGAACAAAGTATTTAAAAAGATTAGGAGATAAATAGGAAATCTCAACACTGACTAGATGATATTAAGAATTAATATTCACTTTAAAAAAATACTTTATTTTGTATAATGGTTTTGGGCTCATAGCAAAAGTGAGCACAAAGTATACAGAGTTGCCATGCATCCCAACACATGCACAGATTCCCCCACTACCAACATCTTGCATCCTGGGTTCAATCCCCAAAACCACACACACACACACAAAAAAAAAAAAAAACCAATGTAATTTTCTCATATCTTTTTCCAGAAAACAAAAACCCAAAAGCCCTGCTGTTGTGAGCTAATAAAAAAGATTTTTAAACAAAGTTTGACTTGGTAATTATCTGAGGGGTAGTTAAGAGCTTAAGTTTTGGCTTCAGCCTGCTGGTGCTTCAATTCTAGTTGTTATGTGACCTTGGATAATTTACCTAACCTCTCTCTGATTTATGTTCTTCATCTGTAAAATGATGGTAATAAATAATAACTATCTTCATAAGTATGTGGTAAAGATTAAATTGAGTTTATATACAGCAAATGGTGAATACATGTTAGTATTTTTACATACTAAGCCCCAATATCTGGATGTCATAAGAAAGAAGAAATGAATTTATTCACATTTTAAGGCCCATGTATTCAGATTTTTCTTAATTTGTTTTATCTGTATATATACTAATCAAAATTTAATAATACCTGGGCACTTCCTCCATTATCTGAATCTTACCAAAAATATCATAGATGGAAAAGAGCAATAACAGACAAAAGGGTTCTGTTGGAAGACTTACTAGTTCTTTTTATTTTTTTAAAGGGAATACTTTCCAACACATTTTATTTATTTTCTTAATATTTTATTTACATTTTAGTTTTTGGCAGACACAACATCTTTGTTTGTATGTGGTGCTGAGGATCGAACCCGGGCCGCACCCATGCCAGGCGAGCGTGCTACCTCTTGAGCCACATCCCCAGCCCCACTACTTCTTTTTAATTCAACCATTTCCACTGCCCTGGGATCTCTTTCATCAGAGATAAATAAGCTGACAATAAAGTGTTTTCTGCTAAATCTGATATTATCTATTCTGACATGAATAAGCCATTGCAAATGCCAAATATTTTTTAATCATGGGGAAAAATACTCATTTTGAGAAAATTCTATGTGTTCCTGCAAATTTCTACTATTTCAGCAGTCATGAACACCAAGGTTTCCCAAGAACATGGTTCACTTCCTGGGGCTCAGCCAGTGTGTCAGAACACATTGCCCCCGATTTAAGGAGATTCCTGCATTAAACCTGGGCTGTTCATGCCAAGGGCATTTCCCACCTCTAATAATAAAGTCAATGCTTTAAAAAAAAAAAAAAAAAGAGGCCAAATGAGCCTCCAGAATGGTTAACACTATTCAACAAGCTGGTCTGAACTGTCAACACACCCTTACTACAATTGCTTCCAGGGTTCTGCACCCTTGATGAGAACCCTGAGTGTAACTTGGGATCTGGCACCAGGCACCCAACAGGCTGTCAAGAAAAGGGAGGGGGCAGTAAAATATCACCACCCTTAGGTGAACCATTATGCTGGAACTTGAAGCAGGAGCAGAAGCAGGTAAAAGAGCAAAGTACCTCCAGAATTGCACCTTCGAGCAATCTCCCAATATACAAGCCCAAGGGCATAGATATCAGCACATTTAAAGGAGTCAAAGTGTTTCATGTTAATAGTTTCATCAAGTACTTCAGGGGCCATGTATCTGCAACAGCAAAAGAAACACAGTTACGCATAGAACATGAAGATTATGCACTTTATTATTATGATTTTTATGGTACCAGGGCTACATCCCCAGCTTCCTTTTTTTGAGACAGGGTTTTTCTGAGTTTCCCAGGCTACACTTAGAATCCTCTTGCCTCAGACTCAAATATAGCTGGGATTACAGATGTGTACCACCACACCTGGCTGTTTTCTTTAAATCGAAGTACTGATCGGGGACCCTTGGGGAGCCGAAGTAAGCACTTCTCTTCATTGCACACTCTCATGTTTTGGACTTGAACCTAAATACTTCAGCAATATCAGACCTGGGAATAGCAGGATACCAGTTAGTATGTATGTGTATATATGTGTATGTATGTGGTACTGGGACCTCCTGCATTTTAGGCAAGTCCTTTACCACGGAACTACATCACCAGTCCTGTTTGTTTTTTTAACCATCAAGATTTGTTTGTTGAAGCCTGTTTTGATTTCCTGATAGAGTTACTAGCTCTGTGGGACACATGGCTGGAAAAGGACATAGTGGAGCCTTTCATTTTATTAAATGTAGCCACAGTGATGGGTTGAGCTTAAATTTCATTCTAAACTTCTCTTGTTATCTATCATACCTGACTGCAGGTAGGTGCAGATTAATTCTAGAGGTGATCAAAGTCACCCTTATTGACTGAGTGGTAATAGTGAGTAAGCGCCTCAAATTGAGTCACCATCCCCCATAATAAATCAAGGCATCACCTCAGGACCCACATTATGGGGCTTGGGTAGCTGCAATCATTCAGGTCTAAAGGACAAAAAGCAGCAGCACAACTGAAGGAAATTCACTTAGGTTCAGCAGACTCCCTCTTCTATCTTGGTAGAAAGAGGGAGTTCCACTTCCTTCCAACTTGCAAGGTCAACCACATACATTCCTTATTACTTTATTTCTCAACAAAGTGGGAAGCAGGCCCACGATCCCTATGGGTATTTCAATCTCCACCCTAGATTACCTCTTCTCTAGTTTGGCAAACCTCTTCTCCAAACCCCAGACAAAACACATTCCCTGCTTCCTCCAGGGCCTCTGCACAAACCACCCCTTTGGATTGCAATGTTCCCCTCTTTCCCTAGCTCCTCTTCCAAATCCTGCTCCTGTTTCTCTTCCTCCACTGTCCTTCCACCCCCAACAGCACCAGCACCTATACATATACGACTCTACAGAGTTGTACTTGTGGTGGTACTTGTATCTGTCCGATGCAATTGTGTTGCTTTCTAGTGTGGGACATGGATGTTCAACTGAACTTCTAGCTGCCTGAGAGCAAGGACCACACCTCCTTTTTCTACACCTCTTCCTGTGCATATGGAAAGGGCACATATGGGATGCGTAGTAAAAGCCGTTGAGCAGGGCTGAGGCCAGGGCCTTCCTACCGTTTGGTTCCCACCCTCTGATTTGGGGCAATGTCAATGGTGTCAGTGACTGCATCATGACGGACAGCCAGGCCCAGGTCTGCGATGGCACACATGCCATTTTTCTTCACCAGGATGTTCTTTGACTTTAAGTCTCGATGAGCAATTCCAGGCTTCCCTGGCAGAGAAAAAAACAGAGATCTTTAAAGAAAGATAGCATAAATGTTAAAAGCATAGAGTCAGCAGCCAGACTGTGTGGGTTTGAGTCCTGGCTTTGTCTCCTGCTAACCCAGTGATCCCATGTGTACCTCAGTCTTCTCATCCAGAAAATCAGAATGACAGTACTTACTTCACAGGAATGTTGTGAAGAAAATGCATTCATGAATGTAAGTAAAGACCTCAGAAGCACATTGAGTATTAGGTAACATTATTAATAATACTATTACCACTCTTTTACCCTAAGCAGCTCAGGTATAGAGCTGCTGAGGAATTCAAAAGAGAAGCTCCTGTCTTGGCTGGTTCTCAAAACCACACAAGCCTGAGGATGGTAACTGCTGATACCAGTGCAGAGGCTAGGAACAGAATCCAGCTGGTATAGCTGGTTTCCTACTGTGCTCATCAAGGACTGTTGCCCCAGTCAACCAGGCACCAGGAATCACACCTGCACCGTGGCCTACCCAGAATATCCCTAGAAGCTGACAAACAACGAGCAGCAAAGCTTCAGGTTTTTTTCCCTCCAGGAAAACCTTTCTAGATCAGTAGAGCCCAGGATCTAACTACCACGCAGTCTATAAGCCAGCTATTCCCAGCAACGAATGTGTGAAATTACTAAACTGATGCCTCTGTCACACTGGTTTATCTTTTAAGTTCCATTCTTTTACATGTGTCCTGTGGGCATCTGAGAGGATTACTCCTTAACAAATGACTATGTCACGCCACTGTCTAATAGCTGAATGCTGATGTTACAGATTTCCCTAGGTATAGGGAGAACGCTTGTATGTCTTTGGTTTTATACAAACAAAGTTCTAACCTCTGTCCTTCAGACTAAATTACAGTTCCTGAGGTCCAGCCTTGACTCTTTTGGTAAAAGGAGTTCTAAGAACAAAATCAGTATGGATAGCTTTTAGTCTATAGAGCACCTCATTTCTCAGCTGGCTCCACTCACCTTGAGTGCCCACAATCTCCATATGTAGGTGTGCCAAGCCACTGGCAGCAGAGAGGGCCAACTTAATCATGCCCTCAATGGTTACTGTGTAGCGGTTAAGATAATCAAACAAGGAGCCATGTTCATGGTAGTCAGAGACGAGCCATAGCTGTGTCCAGGTGCCATTATCTGCAGAGAACAGAGATGATTTCCAGAAAAGGCATTACTAGCAGTAACACAGAAGAATGTGTACAACCCGAGATCCAGTCACTGGCCTGAATTCACTTTTCTTGCCTCCACACCTCCTGATGCCCCCCTGGCCAGTCTCATCTACAGTAGCTCCAATGAGGCCAGAGGAACAGTACACCTCTCCTGGGCTGCTCTCTTATTTCTCTCAGGTGGGCTGTAGGATTCCGAATAGCACTCCACTTTTCTGCCAAATTAAAAATGTGAGGCATCAGGAGAGGAAACGCATATGCTTAAAGAAAGTAACAGGCTTTGTCAGTTTTATCGCAACACTGCTCCTCACAAGACTCGCCCATCAACAATGAACAGCAGTGGCCTGCACTCATCTCCAACACAGAGGAAGGCCTTGCAAGTCCTCCTCTCTGCTCCAATGACCCTCTTAACATAGCCTTAGCACAGTACCTGCCTTACTGTAAAGTGTCTTTTCAGTTTGTTGCTCTCATCAGGCTAGGAGCTGTCTGTGAACACAGGAAAGATCTCCTTTTGCACTGTAGTATTTCGGGTCAAAAAATGTCTTTCAGTGCATGAATTATTCACTTCCCAGTATTCCCAGAAAGACCATCTTACCCTTTGGAAAATGTGTGGAGGTGGCTAGCATACACTTTATTTTCTCTTTTTTACATAGGGCTGCGAGATGGAGGAGGGCAGAGGAAGGAAGAAAGGAAAAAAGAAATACAAAAGCCAATAATCTAATTAAGCCATGCTGCTGTCACAAGGAAGACTGGAAATTGGATCAAGAGCTCCCAAATTCCAGGCTGGCACTGGTTTCACTATATTTCATACTAAATATGTCACATGGTAAAAAGGCAAGAATGAAGGAGACCAATTTTTCTCCTTCCCTGGCCCTAGCAGGGGCTTCGACAGCCAGATCCCTACTTACACAAACTGCCAGAATCAATAAAGGGAGTGGCTGCTGGAAATTACAAACCTTGGCTTCTTTTATCACACTCAAGGGCCCACCTAACTCATGGCTTCCCACCCTCTACCAGACACCTAGTCCTGAGGATCCTGCTGGTAAGTTAAGAAAAAGACATGTTTGGGTCCTGCCAAATGTATGGAAGAGGGGCTGGGGCTGGGGCTCAGTGGGAGAGCGCTTGCCTAGGATGTGTAAGGCACTGGGTTTGATTCTCAGCACCACATATAAACAAATAAATAAATAAAGGTCCATCAATAATAAAAAATATTTTTAAAAAAATGTATGTAAGATTTATATTTTGTCAAAAGGTGATGCTGTTTTAAAGAGGAGCAGCTTACTCAGAGGGAGTAAAACATTCTCCTTCCCTTTCTTCCCCTATATGCAATCCTAAGAATCTCTAACTTGGGGGTAGTTGAGGCTATCACCAACCTCCACAGCAATGTAAGGAATAAGCAGTCTGTTGTTGTTTTAGGAAGAAAAAACAAATATTTAGCATCTTCCCTGGGCTTTATAGACACTAACTTCTAAGTCACTATGCCAAGAATACAATTGCCAGAGACTCTTTTAAAATGTGAACTGAGTCCCCTCATGGCCCTCTCTGTGCTCTAGCTGCACGACTGCCAGGTGAATGCCCCTCTCCTTCTGTGAGCTCTGTGAGGGCAGAAACTGTCTTGTGTTTATATGTGATGATCTGAGCAGCTGGCAGAGGTCCTGGCCCACAGTGGTTAATAAATGCTACTGATTTTAATGAATAAGATTCCAGTTACTACACTTAACTTTCAATAAAACAGAATCTTCTCAAAAAGGTCCATTATAACCTAGCCTTTGCTTACTTCTCCACCAGTCTTTTGCAGCAACATAGCCATTCCAAGTTATGTGCAGCGTCCAACACACTTCATCTTTGCACATGTCTTCAGAGCCCTCCCCACTGGTATTTCTTCCTGGCCAATTCCTGCCACCTTTCACTCAATCAAGCTTAATTGTGACTCACCTCCAATGTGTGCTCACTAGCACAGCCTGGGGTTGCGTCCTATAATCAATTGTAAGTTTACTAGTCAGTGAGGTCCTCAAAAATAGGGATGTACCTGGGCACATGCATGACACTCAAAACTAAAGCAAGAAAGGAGGAAAGGGGGAGAAAATAAGGGACCTCAGGTAAGGGTCAAGTCAAAAGCCAAAAAAGCTACTAGGTGACATTTTGGGTACAGGCAGATCTTTGTTCTTTAGTGGCTGCTCCACTACAAGTATATATAATGTTAGTATGTCACAGAACATGGATTTATTACTTTTCTATGGTTATCCTTTCCTAGCAGGGGTGAGACCACAATTCCTCATTCTAGCAATTTTCCAATAGACTTAGTGGGGCTGAAGTTGTAGCTCAATGGTAAAGTGCTTGCTTGGCATGGGTGAGGCACTGAGTTCAATTCTCAGCATTACGTAAAAATAAATAAAATAAAGGTACTGTGTCTATCTTGGTTAAATATATATATATATATATATATATATATATATATATATATATATATTTAACTCCAGATAAGTAAGTAAACACCATGTTTCACACACACACACACACTTAGTGGAGCTCCTACAGAGACTACACTAGAGGTGGGTTTTAGAGAATGTCAAGAAAAGAAACCAAACCAGGTGTAGTGGTGCATGCTTGTAATCCCAGTGGTTTGGGAGGCTGAAGAGGAGGATTAAAAGTTCAAAGCCAGCCTCAGCAACTTAGAGAGACCTGTCCTTGTCTCAAAATAAAAAGGGCTGGCGATGTGTCTTAGTGGTTAAGCACCTCTGGGTTCAATCCCCAGTATCAAACAAACAATAAAAAGCAAAGAAGAGAAACCTAGCAGAGAAGAGAAACCTAGCTAGGGTGTGTATTTTGTTTATCTGCTCAATAACTTGGGTTTCTATGTAAGTTTTTCATGGAATAAAAGGCTCTACATCTTGAAGCATTTGAAAACTATGACCTTATTCAGACTCTCTTTTATGGGCAGTAACTAAGAAGCAAAGAGCAATTCAATTTCTCCAGCCATCCCTTTATTGAAGAATCTTGTTGACTTTGGGATGCCCTACCTGTATCCCCAGCCCAGCCCTTTACCTTTATTGTCAGCAGCAATAAATCCAAGGATGTTTTCATGCCGCAACATGACTGTCTGGTATATCTCGGCTTCCCGGAACCAAGACCGTTCTTCACGAGAAGAGAAAATTTTTACAGCTACATCACCACCCCTCCAGCGGCCACGCCATACTTCCCCAAACCGGCCTTTGCCGATAATCTCCTGTAAAACAATGGTGCGGGCCACTGTGCGCTGGACAAAGAGAGGTAACCCTGTGAATCAAAGAACAGAAAGAAATCAGACATTACAAATTTGCTAAACTTTGGAATTTCCACAATCACTGCTATCCTGAAAAGGCCCTCCATTCTATCCCATCCTTTAACCATGGAAAGCTCCATGTGCCCCTGCACCATGTCTAGTGACTCTACTGCCAGGCTGAGCCAGATAGAAATTGGAAGTGAGTGAACAAAAAGAGAAATGCCTATGATTAGCTATTCCTTAGCAAAGTAATTTCTCCTCTAGTTAGTCTGGATAATGGATTTGAATGTAAGTGTTTGACCAGATTTAATAACTCTGTATCCAGCCACCTGTGGGCCAACCTACCCACGGATCTGGTTTATTCTGATAGAACCAGGAAAAGATGAAAGCCAGGACTTAAGGTCCCAGAGCCGCTCTGCTCATCAGCCACTAGGGGGCAGTGCTGTGTGGCTAATGAAAGCCCAGGCAGTCTCAGATCAACGTTCTGCTCATAGGTAGAACTCCAGTCAGAGATGGAAGACTATCCATACTAATTTTAAGATTAATTTTACTGATTTTTCACTGCTTCATTTGATTCATTCACTATCTCTCTATCTATCCAATCACCATCCCATCACAACTGACTCAAACTCTCACTCCTTCCCACAATCAATAATAACTGTTATTTATCCCCAGTTTGATACATGTGAACTATTGTTTGCTGTGCTTACTATGCAAGAAGCTCTATGCTAAAGACCTACATAAACTGTCTCATTTACTCACAACCACCTGTACAGTAAGTATTATTATTCCCATTTTGCAGATGAGAAAATGAAGAATAAGACTCAGAAAGGAACATTATTAACTCATTCAAATTCATACAAGCAAAAGTGACAAAGCAGGGATTAAAATCCAGGACATAGTCCATGCTTTCAACTACAACAATAAAGAACCACCAAAATGTTTCTCAAATTGGACCCTTCCTTCCTTTCCATCCCCTGTGCTACTCCAGCCATTCATTCATTTACTTATATACTGGGGATCGAACCCATGGCCGCTTTACCATGGAGCCTCATCCCCAGCCCCTCTCTCCCTCCCTTTATTTATTTATTTTTGTTAATATTGAGACAGGGTCTCACTAAGTGGCTGAGGCTGGCTTCAAACTTGCCATCCTCTTGCCTCAGCCTTCAGAATCACTGGAACTACAGGTGTGGAGCACCACACCCAGCTGGCCCTTCATTTAAAAGACTTCCAACTGGTCTTTCTGCCTTCATCGCACCCTGCTCTTACCCTACACACCCACACACAGCCCTGCCTCACCCCACCCTTCCTCACAGGAGGTTGGTAAATGAACAAATTCATCCTCCACATCACTGTCAGAATTCCTTTCAAAGGAAAAAAATATGAACATTTTCCCAAGTGAAAACTTTCAGTAGATGCCTCTTATCTCTAAGATAAAATATGGCTCCTAAGATCCTTCACACCTGGGCTAGCCTGTCTTTCCTCAGCCACCTAGCAGGGACACACCATGCTGGCCTTCTTATCCTAAGTCCTTAAACATACATACTATAAACTTTCATGTCTTTTTGTCCTTTCATTCAAGGTGTTTTCCTTGGCCCAGAATATTCTCTCCCCTCTCTTAAAAATTCCAACTCCTTCAACTACATCTCCTCTTTAAGACTTTTACCCATAATCCCTATCTCTTCTATCCAATCCTGGATCAGCTTTTTTTTTTAAATCTTTGTTCCCAGAAGGGGAGCATACATTTGTTAAAATGAACTGCAAGTAACATAAGCAGCATGGACTTCAAAAACCACAGTATTAAAAAATCCAACATGAGGCTGGGGCTGGGGCTCAGCCTAGCATGTATGAGGCACTGGGTTCAATCCTCAGCACCACATAAAAATAAAATAATAAAATAAAGATATTGTGCCCACCTATAACTAAAAAAATAAATATAAATAAAAAATCCAACACGTTGGAAGTTCTTCACCTTCTGTCCTGGGAAAGGACTAAACCACCCAGAGAGATATAGTTATTAACCATTTTACTCCAGATAAGTAAATAAACACCACGCCTCACTAGCCTCAGCTGGTCCTGGATCTGAAAAACTCTGGAACACTCAAGCCACGGTCCTCCAAGAGCAAGTCAAGTCACAGAATCAACCAGGCAGGTCTAACCACTGCCCCACCTCTTTTAGCAAAGAACAGCCATGTATTTTCTCTGTTTCTAAAAATATGGAGCTTTTAAATATATCCATCATTTTGGTGCTCTCTACTGCCGAGCTTAATAAAAGCGAAACCACTGAAATTCAGGAGATGTCACAGCTCAAAGTATTCCTGTGTTCAAGAAGGAATGTCTGGCCATGATGGATGGCATAATTTCCCTACAGAACAATAGCCTGTCCCATGGCAAGGAAACATAAAAACATTCTCACAAATATGATTCTGTGTGTTCTAACTAGAACAGCAACGCTGATCTCCAAGGCTGAGTTGTTATTGTTGTTTTCTGGAAGAATGGAATATCATTATGACTAAAGTAACAGTTTATTTTCATTACCAAAAAAAAAAAAAAAAAAAAAGTCTTTTGTAGTCATGTTCACATCTAATTGCTGAGCTATGCCCCAAGACCTGAATAACCTCAATTCCCTCCATCCAAAATTCTGGTCTCATGCCAAGGTCCAGCGTTGGGTTCATCGTCCCCATCTAAGAAAGACTTGGTCAACAACAGGCACTACAGGAAATGGAGCTGATGCTATGCTGGAAGCCCAAACTGCTTTTATGGTAACCCCCTCCAAAAAACCCTTGGGCAATGGTACAAGTCAATGATTCACCAAATCCCAACTCTAGCTTTACTCAATGTCCTTAAACTCCCCTTGTGGTTGCTCAGAGATCAATGATTAGCTGTCACCACCTCACAGAAATCCAGCACACTCCTGTTTCTCAAAAGGGGCCCTTCAATTGAGCACTCCACTGCTCAGGTGGAACCAGCTGAATTTTAATAGATGTATGGGTACAAGACTAGGAGAAGGGAGGCAGGGTTTCTCCAACGAGTTTTGCACTTAACCTTTGGAATCCCAGGGTATAAAAGATTTTCTGTGAACCCATTATCATATCTTATTACACGTCAGACTCCAAAAAAAGGGAAATTATGAAACCACATGACTCAATGCTAGTAGAAACAAGCACAGGGCTCCGGCCTTCCTCACACACTCTCCTGCTGGGAAACAGTCATGAGGGCCAACAGACACAGCGCCTACAGAACTCAGTACCTGAGCCAGACCCTGATGTGGAGAGATCGTAGACAAGATCCTGAAGCGTCTTGTCTTTGGAAAGACACATCTCACATGAGGGATCTTCCATGTCCAGTCTCTGGCGGTTGTGATAGACACGCTGATGATAGTTAATAACAAGGAAAACAATGATGATGATGAGAAACAGAAGGAAGACTGGGCCAGCAATAATGCCTACCAGCTCCACAGGGCCCCACACGGAAGGGTGCTCAGGCTCCTTGAGGTGACCTGGGTCAAACGAGAGAAGGAACACAGAGTAAAAACAAGGGAACGCTGTGGCCTTACTTATCTCCAACACTGCCTCCAAGTGAGAAAGGGCCCTTCCCCCTCAAGGTTTTAAGTTTTTAAAATTCCTTTGATCTCTCTCTGGTCTTACTGGGCTTGTCTATCTACTTAGATTCTCTCCATGCCAACTTCTTTGGTTGAATTGTCCCTTCTATGATCAAACCAAACCCACTTTGGAACTTCACAGCATGTCAGGGTCCCACCTTAGATAAATGCCAGTTTCCACTCTCCTTTAGGCTCTGCTCCAGCATCTCTCCTCCTTGGATCTGCCTGGTGATACCTTCTAAATGGCAGATTTTGTGATCACCACCCTTTCCTAATTCTAGCCCCTCTTCACATCTGCCCATCTCCCTTCCTAGAGCAGACCCCTTCACAAGGCTCTGGTGCCATTTCTTTCCAGATCAGTCCCACATCCTCTGTGGGGATTCCTGCCTGGCTCTGCTGCCCATGGCTGTTCAGCCACTACCCAAAATGCAGATCTCACTTCTGGGACTTACTTGAAAATTTGCCTCTCTCATTCTCAATCTATAAACCTAACTTGAGAGGAATGCCATCCCTTGTCACCTCAGGGAGCATTCAAAAGGCAAGGGAGTGGGGAAGAGCACAGAAAATGGAAGGAGGAGGTGCGCTACCTCCAAGATGAGCCAATAGTCTGATAAGGACATGCACTTACCACTGGGCACCCTCAAGTCGATCTTGTTGCAGAAGTCAGTATAGCAACAGTGGGTGTTGCGCAGATCCTCTGAGCTCAGGCAGTAGAAGGGCTTCCCAGCAGGGACCAGCTCCACTTTGGGGATGCAGGTACGCACATGGTGCTCCATCCCATCCAGGTTGAAGATGGAAACCATGCAGGCCCCATCTGTTTCACACGTGTAGTTGGCCTGTAGACAGCTGGTGCATGCACACAGCAGAGCTGCAGGGGATTTGGGAGTAGACATTGAAAGCAACAATGAGGTCTTTTCCAGGTCCTTTTCTAGACTTAGAATATAATCCCTTAGCATACTTCAAGCTCCAAAACAGAAACTTTTATGGAGATGGGGCCAGAAAGATATCTTCAACTGGAGCACAACCCTTTTCAGCTCACAGATAAAGCTTGATAGGCCCCACCATTCCTCTCAATGATCTATTCCATGCCTGTGAGAGACAGAGGAACCACCTTCTCATTCAAACCAAGATGGCCTGCAGAGAGGATGGAATCTCTCCTATAGAAGATAGGAGGCACCCCCCTACACACACACACACACTCTCTCTCTCTCTCTCTCTCTTTTTCCATGTAAAACCACCTCAGGGTTCCTTGGAGCCAGAATCAAGCCATCTCCTCTTTCAGGCATGAGGCACGCCTACAGCTTCCTGAATGTAGTGCGCACACTCTTACACATTCTCTTGCAAAGCTTTTTTCCTGCCCAGTTTTCGAAAAGCCTTCAAAATTCTGCTCAAACACCACTTCCTTTGAAAAGCTTCCCCTGACCATTCCATCATTGTTTCTTCCCTTTAGTCTATGTCAGGTGTCCCTCTCATGAGGGCCAAAAAGAATGTCTTCCAAAGAGGAGAATTTTAGTGCCTACCTCATAAAGTTATTATGAGGACTAAATGAGATAATGCCTAAAAGGTGCTCAATAAATTTAACCCATTCTGAAAGGCCCCTGGACAGCACTTACAGTTTTTTGTTGTTGTTTTCCCCCAGAGAGGCCGTGTACATGATCACCTCTGTGACTAATCAGTTTTGCTAGGTGTGTATCATGCTATGTGTGTGCCACTGACAGGAAATTACTGTAAATGAATTTGGCGCCTCTGAAAGCCTGTTCTGCAGCCCTGGAATCTGCAATTCTTTATTTATCTGACTAACAAGAATAGCACAGACAGCAGCAGTTGGTTCTTCCAACACTGTCTCCCATGAGCCTAACCTAGCCCTGACCTCTTGGGATGGGCAGACATGTGGCTTTGGCCACTACAACACTAAGGCTGGGATGCGCAGTGCTGAGAAAGGTACTCATCCATCAGTGCTTGGAGGGGAGGCCCATCAAGTCCCAGGTGGCACATTCAATAAGCACTGTCTGGGTACCCAGGGGGAAGACTTGCACTCCAAGGTCTCTGGAGGAGAGACATTTGCAACCGGTCCCACAAAAAGCCACACTGGCCCAACTCTCCATTTAGGCTGTAAAGAATCTATCTTTGTGTCTTCCTCCAATACTCTAGAAGACATCTCTTGTCTTTTCAAATGCAAAGACAGATTCTAAATGTCTTAGTGTCTAACCCCTCCTGCCACAGGCTTTCTATAAATGAGAGAATCCCTTGTCGTTCCCACTCGAGGAAACAGAGGAGAGGCAGCACCAGCAGGTACACAGACAGGGTTGACCTCACTGCCCAGTCTGTTGTATTTTTTTTTTTACAACCTTTGATCAGATCCCTATCTTCTGGGAGAAATTCCAAAACATGTTGCTACCTGCTAAAGAGCGTAGGTAGTATTGATTCTTAAAGGCATGAAGTTTAAAGTAGGTATTTATGAGAACAGGATCCACATCATAAAAAGAATTTTAAAAGCAAATTTCTCCTAAATTTCAATTTAAACCCTGGTAGTCACAAAAAAGACTAAGGGCCTTCTCATTTTTTTTCTCCCAAATGCCCTTATTTGTTCTTTTATTCTTTTGGTAACTTAAAACTTTTACAACTCTCAGAATACTTGGTCCAACTCTCTTTTACCCCATTGGAATCCTGCTTCCAACAAAGTTCATCTCCCCCCGACACCCCTGTGTGCATTCAGGAGTGAGGGGTCCCTGTAAGGAGCATGCTTCTCAGTATATATGCTGTGATGTCCAGCAAAGAGAACAGTGTTGGAGCTATTTCGGGAGGCAAGAAAGGGAAAATTAACAACTTCAAGAGAGGACTATTCTGAGCAGGGTGAGACACACAAGGCCAAACCCACAGTAGCCTGTTTAAAAAGAGCTCACTTCAGAGTCCATCAATTAGTGTAGCAGAGCAGTCAGAAATCTTTCTGATTCCAGATATTTATTCTCCTTTTGTTGGTTCATGGCCTCTTTCACAGTGATTCATTCTGGAGAATGAACACACCCACACGTGGCTCATTATTTTTGGGAAGTACTTAAACAATCTTGGTGTAAGACAGGAAAGAGCAAAAGTGGTGAAATCTATGCTAACAGGGACTGAGAACGGAACTGGAGGCTGGGCCCCAGGGGCTGATGATAAGGGAACTGGGTGAGTCCCTAAGCCTATCTGGATCTCAACTGTCCAACCAGAACACATTTTTTCTTACAGAGATGGTAGGGAGATTAGTCAAATGTCTGCTAAGTGCTGTGGGTACCTTGAGAAACACTTGCTCTACACATATCTATGTACATCTATGTACACTCTGAACAGATAAACTTTTATGATAACCATCACTATTGCCCACACCCAGGAAAAGGTCTGAATTTACTCACTAGGAGCCACAGTGGGTATCACAGCAGAACAGGTCATAAAGACCTAAAGCTCAAATGTCAGCACTTGTGTTAATCACATGACCTTGAGCAAGTTTACTGCACTAGTTTCTTTTGTGCTCAATCTGTATAGTGGGACTATTAATAACTCTTCACAGTACTGTGTAAGAATTACATGAAACAACATAAAAGCACTTAATAGTAGGTACTCAATAAATATGAATCCCTCTTCTGAATGTAAAACCTAAAAAATAAAAATAAACAACCATACAAAATAAAATGTTTCTCTTGAACCACTGATTAGGAAGTGGAAAGTTACAGCAAGGTCTCGGCAAGAAGCTATTCAAGTCTATGTGCTGTGGGTAACTAGTCGCGTGGCTTTGGGCAAGTCATTTAACCTCTCTGAACCTCATTTTCCTCATGATTAACCAGAAAGAAGGAACTGAACTAGATGACCTCCAAAATCCTTTCCAGCTCAATCTAGATTTAGTTTTGTTTTTTAATTCACACTGTTTGGATCATTGATCCAACACTGAACAATTCTGCTGTTTTATATACCTTTTCCTAAATGTCTTTAAGACAGACATTTTGCCCAGTCTTCTGTTAATATTATTCACTAAAACAAAATAAGTGGTAATAAAATTATAAACATATCTGAACTTACTGTAAATTTAGTACACTAAATCACAAACCTAAATCCAATTCCCTTTGAAAAGTCAAGTATGTACGAATGATAACAGACCCTTACAATGTTTCACAATGACTCATCAGGTTAAAAAGTCTGCATGTATATAAGCAAGTGCATACCTAAAATTCTCCTTATTCCACAAAGTGTTACATGTGAGAAAACTAAATCACAGAAGTGTCACTAAATCACTCAAAATGTAAACAAAAAAGTGGTCAGAACAAGAGTAGGGTAGACTTCTGTTATTAGCAAGTTTATTAGTCAAACCTGAATTCAACACAAAACCACCTTGGCAGAATTTGAACATGGTTCCTAAGTATGATTAGAAGGTGGTTTGTGGTAGGATGTAAATGCAAATTTGATTCATGAAAGAGGCTGTGTTTTGAGAAGGCAGACAAGTCCCAACTTGGGTAAACTCCATCAAGCTGCGCACAGGCCTCCAAAGAGAGGAGGGCACTGGGCAGGTCTTTGGCCCAGCTGGGAACTCTCAGGATCCCCACACAGGCCTGAGTGATTCAGAAATCTCTTCTGTGATTTAGTTTTCCAAACTGTCATTTCTCATACATAACACTTTGGTTGTGGAATAAGGAGAACTTTAGGTATGTATTTGCTTGCGTAGTCCTTTTAGTAGTCTTTTTAGTAGTCTCATGTAGTCTTTTTAACCTGATGATTACTGCACTGGGCTTGTTTTTGTGGCGCCAGGGATGGATCCCAGGGCTTCAGGCACTCACAAGTACTCTACCATTGACCTACAAATCCATCCCTGGCTTCTCTGGGAAAGAACAAAGACCACAAATTTGATTTCAGCCCCAGTAATACTAGTTTTATATTAGGGTGTGATGTTTTCAGTTTTGTTTCCCATAAGAACACACTGCATAGACTGCATTACTTTTCAAGAGTTTTCACCTTCATTTTCTCATGTGATCCCCACAGGAGTTCACAAGAGCTGAGGTAGGTGTAGCTGTCCCACTTTATGGGTAGTAAAGCCAAGAAGATAAGGAACTCACAAATGATAAACAAGTAAACAATGGAGCCACAACTCCAACTCAGGTCTCTAGGCCCCAAGTCCACACAGCATCCTACAATCTACCTTCTGGCAATGTCCAGCACCCCTAACTTTTCAGGGCCATCACTGTACTACAAACATCATCAGAAGTAGGACACATCATTCTGCAAATAATACTGACATCAACTAAAGGCATTCTTACCATCACTATGTCAAATCCACTCAGGGTTTTCTGACCAAAAAGCCTCACCAAGTCTTCCTGCAGTTTACCTCCAGGGATTTGGCATGTTACAGTCCAAGACAGCAGAGGCATTTATTTCACCGTGAATTCCTTAATGCACATTAATGACTAGAAGTGCCATTCTACACACACATACACCAGACCTTTTTTTTTTTTTTTTTTTGATACAGGGTCTTGCTAAGTTGCCCATGCTGATCGCAAACTCCTAGACTCAAGAGATCCTCCGGCCTCAGACTCCCCAAGTATATTGGACTAAGGTATGCGCTACCATGCCTATCCATCCCTATCTTTAAAAGACAGTTTTTTATACAGAGTGAAGTTCCTTTGCTCCCTTGGTAATTTCAAAATAACCACCTTGTACAGACCTTATTAAGTTTTTCCCATTCAAATTAAGTCTCTTAATTTTGCTTTGTTCATATGTATACTTAGCTCCTTTTAAAAAGTCCCAAACTATGGGCCTTAGAAAACCACAATACCACTTCCCCTCCAGTGGGTAATTTTTCTTGGGTTCAATGCCCCTTCCCCTTTTTGCAGTGCTGGATATTGG